GGCCTCCCAGAGTGCTAGGATTACAGGCGTGAGCCACCATGCCCGGCCCACAAATTTTCTTTGTTCATTTGAATTCTTCAGGGCAACTTGTCTCTTGGTGTGCACAGCCAGTTTCCCCGCTGCTCTGTGTGTGTTACAGCCTTCTGATCCTAACTAGTGTATTCTTTCCTATAAGTTGCACACATTTTCTGTCAGTTGTCTTTTATGTGTTTTTGGTGCCTTTCACCATGCCTTAGTTTTAAATCTTTGAATGGGCCAACTTAGTCTCTTTCTTTATGGCTTCTAGGACTCCATCTCCTGCTTGATAAAGGCTTCTTTTCTATGTTTGCCTCTAACTTATTATTTCATAATTGGAAATGTTAAACACATTGTCTCATATTTCTCTCTAGGGTACAGATGTGCCTCCAACTTTTTTTGGAGTGGCGGATAGCCAATTGTCAAAACCTCATTTCCAATATTGAAACATCAGTCTTACTATATTCCAAAATCTCATATGCAAAGAATTATGTTTCAAAAATTTCCTTGCTATTCTTGCCTAATTATCCTTCCTTATGTTGTTTTAAATCAAACTGTCAAAGTAAACATATCTTACTGAGACTCTGGGATTACAATTTATAAACATTTTAATAGTATTGAGTATTTCATCTAGAAATTTCCTCATTTCTCCTTTTATTGACACTTTTTTTTGTTTTTCAATATAGTTTAATAATTTCCTTTCACTATTCACAAATTGCTTTATAGTTTCTTTTCTTGTTGTTGATGTGAGAGTTGTATTATCCTCATAAATTTAGAACCTTTTGTATATTTTCCTCTGTTCTAGAGCAGGGGTTGGCACACTTTCTGTTAATGAACAGTAAATATTTGAAGCTTTGCGAGCCACACTGTCTCTGTTGTGACGACCCAGCTCTGTCGAGGTTGTTTAAAGCGGCCACAGGCAATAGGTAAACAAATGAGCATGGCTGTGGTTCAGGAAAACTCTATTTACAAAAACAGGCAGCAGACAGGATTTGGCCCAAGCACTGTTGTTTTTTGACCTCTGCTCTACAACAGGGATCAGCAAACATTTTCTGTCGAGGGTCAGACAGAAGATATTTTGAGCTGCAAGCCATATGGTCTCTGCCACTGCTCAACTTTGCTGCTGTAGCCTGGATGCGGCCACAGACGGTATGCAAATCAGTGGGTGTGGCTTCATACCAATAAAACTTTACTGACACCAAAATTTTAATTTCATATAATTTTCAAGTTGATAATATTCTTTTTACTCTTGTCAATCATTTAAAATTTTTTAAAAAAATTTTAGAGCA